CCTAATTACTGCACCCTACCCATGCATCGACCAGGGTGTGTTTATTGAGCAAATGATTCCGAACATTAATTACAAACAAATGTGGTCCAAACGAACGGCAGCACATTGTAAGGAACGTTTCGTTCGAAAGCGGTTATATCATATTTGAAATGAAAATAGTACACAACAAGTAAGGAAGGGCTAGGTGCGGGTATATACATTTTTATTCTTGCAACTTGTAAGGATCAAAGCAGAGGAGAGGTTTTAGGAAAACTTTATATTAAGAAATGTTGCAAAACAATTAAACATTCATTATTCGGTGAAAGCGTAAATGGATTACAATAAAATTTGGTATGTTATTAAGTTAAATATATTATATGTCACAGACTTTCTTAGTTTTATTACTATATTTTACTTCGCGTCAGCTAAAGTTGTATTAAAATCATCTTTAAATGGGATAATTATATGGGATATAAACTCAACTGAAGAAGCTAAATTTAATACAATGAGTTGATGTGAAAACGTCTACCATTGGATCTCAATTTATTATTTTAGCGATATAAGGGTAAAAACCTAGTCTAGACCAATTTCATTTATATTCACAAACACTTTTTAAGAAAATTTGTTCAATTCATTTTATTAAAGTATCATACATTTTTCCGGGTGAAATGTCAGAAATTATTATATATTCTATATTGGTATATAGATCATACATTAAATGAAATGTTGTAGGTATATGAGACATAGGGGTAGTATTGACCCCATTTTATCTATAATATTTTTGGCATTACCTACACTATTAACATAATAAAATGCTCCCTGAGTTTCACTAAGGTACTTCACATACCATCACATACACATATATGTATATACCTATATGGAGTAAAATCAACCGGATGTTTGACAATTTTGTAATTAGTTATACTATGAGTTTTCACCCGATTGAAATTATTTTAAGCACAAAAATGTACCATTATAAGAAAAATCCAATCATTTAATTTTATGAAGATAGCTTTCATATTGGTCAATATATGCAATATGAAGTAAGCCGGAGGTTCGAAAATATGTTTATTGGGTATATGGGGGCTAAGGGAAGTATTGACCCAATTCAATTTGGTTAAGTAGTTCCTGAGGTATGTGATTTCACCTAAATGTGGGCGGAGCCACGCCCATCGTCCAAGTTTGACATCGGCTCCTATAAAACCATCTTTTATCATCCCGGACGTTAAATTTATTATATTTGACGTACTTAGTTATTGATTTATCGCACTTACTCACCATTATATGGGAAGTGGGCGGGATTATCATCCGATTTCATTTATTTTCAAACAAAACAACGATTCAAACAACTGATAGGTGGACAAAACTATTATACTCTGTAACAACATGTTGCAAGAGTATAAAAAAGACGAACGATGCTGAGAAAACGTTTAAATGCAGCTTGTTTTCTTGCCGCTGCCAACACTACAACTCCAATATTTCACTTCGGTACCGGTGGCTATGCTTACCCGCTATTTTCGCTATGTCGTTAAGGTTGCAAAACCCCTTGTCCTCCAGCATTGCCGTTACAGCGTCATTAACGATGACGTTGGTTTTGTTCATTTTGTTATTGACGCGAGTAACGAACAAGGCCGCTCCGAAATTCTCTACTTATTTTTTTAGTATTCACCATTTTTTAAGTTTCCATTTTCCTTAAGTGGCACAACAAAATATGAACAATCCCATTAAGCAAAAATGTACGTATATATTTGATTTTTAGTTAAGGTTCGGTTGGCCGCAAAAGTGGTCGAGGTTGTAACCAAAAGTAGTCCTGCAATTGCTTCGGCGAACAATAAATATGACTAAATAGCTACGTCGGCTTCGGAGGCAAGGCGGAAAAGAAAGAAGGGTGGCATAATTTATAAATGTGTTTATATTTGTTTTTTAATGCTCCCGCACATTAATCGACCGCAGAAAGGGGAAGTAGGCATATATATAGGTAAGTACATTGTAGTGGAACTGAAAAGTAACTGCCTACGACGACGATGTTGTAGCTTATGGAGGCCGTAAAAAATAAAATGATTCTCATATTTTTGTTATTAATACGCGCATATTCTCAAACATCCATACTTATAAATATAATATGCGTTTAAATGTATAGTTATTCCACGAATATTCCCCTATTTATATGGTTTTAGTTTCAAACAATTTTTGTTGCGTTCAAATATGCACTTTGGCTGTCAAAATGTTCTGTAAATTATTGTAATCGAGCGGCAGTGGCAACAACATAAATAGCGGGGACGTACAAACTGTAAAGCAAACACTTAATTTGTCAAAAATGGCGTAATTCGAGTGACGTACAAACGAGAAAAGCTATATATACCAAAGTTGTTATTGAGTGTGATAAATAATAATATTTTTCATAATGTAATTTAAGTAACTGTCTGCCGCGGAGAGTACCAAGAGCAAAAGTATTTTTTATAAAAATTTAAATACCGGTGCTAAAAAAGGGTAAAAATTATGTCATACTTTAATGTACCGTTGGTTTAAATACATTTTATCAAGATATTACTTGTAGGTATATGGGGCCTAAGAGAAGTATTGACCCGATTCAATCCTTTTTTTTACACACAGACATAATATTATCACGAAAGAGTTCTCTCCGAGTTCCAATTATATATCCCATACATTGAACGATAATTTTGATAAAAAGTCAATCATGGACATTGGGATCCACATCTTCGGTATATGGGGGCTTGAACAGTTATGGTTGGATTTTGAATTTTGAATTTTAAGACTTAAGATGGCATATCTTGAAGGCACTATTTTTGCAAAGTTTAGTGTGAACAAAACTATGATACTTTGTAGTAACATGTTGCAAGATTATAAAAATAAAGAGACTTTATGATTCCGAGTGATGGATATAACTGAGGATTCGAGTATAAAGATTTTTCAACTAAGCCCTTCAATAAAAAGAAGCCAATCTAGAAGGGAGAAAAATATTGGAAATAATGAAAGCAAAATAAAATACAAAAGTTCAATAGTACAACAAAAAAAAATATGACGCAGTTGTATAATGAGTAATGTAATGTGAAATAAAAGTCTTATGTTCATATGTTGTACCTACATCTGGAGCCCTCACCTCAAAAATTAGTCCACAGGCACATCTGTCGCGTGGAGTTTTTCGCTCTAAAATCAAAACAGGTTCTTGGGTGTACCGCTTACAGTGGTGATTTAAATCCTGCTAATAGCAATATTTCGATGAAAAGTTGGCGATCAACTTATCGTAAACAGCCTTGAATAGTTTACAGTTTAAAATATATTTATTTAAAATTTAGTCGATTTAACCATGTCCGTTTCTCTGTCGGTCTGCTCGTCTGTATGTCTGTATGTACGCGATCAGGTGACTCAGTTTTTGAAATATGGATTCAAAATTTTGCACTCCCCCTTTTCTCCCTAAGGAGCTGCTCATTTGTCGGAATCGCCGATATCGAACAACCATAGCATTTAGTTGCGATACAAACTGACCGATAAAAATTGAGTTTTTGTATGAAAAATTGCTTTATTTGACAAGATATCTTCACGAAATTGTTCAAGGCAACGCTACAGATCGCAATAGCATGTACGTAGTTGCCATTCAAACTGACCTATCAAGATAAAGATCTTTTTATACCCTTTGATGCTATAAGAATTGCACGGGTATTATACCTTCGGCACAGCTATCTTTTACATAAAAAACTTAATTTAAATTAAATTTAACTCTCTTGTTGAAAACTCATCCTTCGACAAGTACCTGAGTTAGCTCTAATAGATACATATAATAACGCATTGGTCAACAGCCATCAGTATCTTATCACGTAACTCACCTGAAAAGAAAATATTTAGAATTTAGTAAAGTATTAAAACTAAATTTAATATTTGTAATATTACATATTTGATCTATATTCATTAAATACAAGCGATAGGTGCCGGCGACGGGTGCAGGTGAGCCTATTTTAATACAGTTTCTGCACAACAGTAGTAAACTACTTGAAGCATGTTTTATGTTATGATTGTATATCAGAACTTAAACCCAGATGGTTTAAATGTTTAGCTCAGTTCTATAATAATTCAATGTCAAATTTGAGAAAAACTAATACGAATAACAGTTCTAGACTAGACCAGGAGGTTTTGAAAATGGTAAATAATTGATAAATAATCAATGAAGGAAAAATGATTTCCTGCCGATCTGAAGTCGGGAAGATAGAGGAGAGACGCGTGGTTGAATTTTTATCTCAGTTTACGGCAAAACTACGAGCCCTATGGAAAAAAGTTATATGGCAAAGCTTATGAAAAGATCTAAAACCTTTGTTTTAACAAAAAAAACCAAAAAACCCAGTTTTTAAGCTTTTTACTTTTATTTTGTACATAAAATTGTTTTCTTTCACGAAATTTGGTGAAAACTTACATTGTATTTTTTTGTTTAATTTAAAATATAATATTTATTTCTCTCCTTTTTTGGCTTAATAACGAAAAAAAAACATAATTTTTCATCAATAATCCTCACATCAAAAAGATTTTTTTCGTTGAAATCAATAGACAATTATTAGAAATTATAATTAAAGAAAATGGCATTTTTTTTGCGAATTTGCCCTAGCTGTATCCATTGCAAGCTTTGACACAGAATTTAATTTTAAAATTCTGTGCTTATCGTGCCTAATTTATGACATACGAAATATTTCTGAACATTGCTGTTTTAAAATTTACATAATTGGGTTTTATTTACCAAAATACCACACATTTCTTTGGATAGGTTAGTTTATTAATTTATCATCAAAAAGTACACGCTGTAATGAGCATTTCTACCAGTATACAAGATACATGGGATAAAACAAAACACAAACCTTTGTGGCTTACTTACGTACATGTCGTATATTAAAAAAAAAAACTATTAACAAATTAGAAAGGGAAAAACTATCGAAAACAAAATACACTTATGCGTTTATAGGTATATATGTTTACTAGTTCACATACATACAAACATATACTACGAGTTTGCTTACATTCAAATAGTATAGGAATGGCTAGTACTTGATTACTGTCGTTTGGTCGTTTCAACGCTAAAAATCACGGGACGCCGATTAGGTTTCCACGCCGTTTTATGCCTTTACGTTCTACCGCCGTTCGCTGTTTCGCTTCAGCTGCAATCGAAATAAAGGAGTATATATTTAATCAATAAAACAAGATAAGCAATCCCATACACGGGAACCTAAGGCCCATATACACACACACACATACTCATGCACACAAGTGGAAGCTCACGCAAGGCTAAATGTACCGGGATACAAAGCCAAGGTTGATGTCGTGCTGCTTCCAACGAAAATGTTGGTGTCGCAATGACAACAACAACAGCTGCACCAAATTAGCAACAACAATGAGGGAAACTCTGTTCATACCGATGACCGCTGAAACGATCTTTTGCAGCAGCTTCGAATGAACAGAATGCTATGTTTCAAAACGAAGTGATAAAAATCTGAAAATCAGTACCATAAAATAACAGAAACAAGCTATGTGTTGTGTGCGGCCGTGGCAGAAAAGGTGATAAAGACAATAATCTTTGTAACCGAATTTATGGGAAGACTAAGTATTGTATATTGAAGTATAGATGGTAGTACCCGCCAGTAATTTTAGCATTTTTGATTCGAGCATGCTTTACTTATAGAAATTTCATTGACGCATTTTAAGTTTAGCGAATTAAATTTTTAAGTTTTTACTAAGTGGATATGGGGGATACACAAAACTATTTTCATCAAACTATCAATGTCAAAAACACATACATATGTTTGTATGTACATATAGACAAATTGACATTTTTTCAAGTGCAACAGGAATAGCCACTGGCATTCTCTTTTATCGCGTGTCGATAAGCTGTGTCGATAATGGTGCCCACAATAAATTAAAAACGTAAACATTTAACGTTTTTCGCCAGCGAGACTCCATTTATTTTACCTTTTTGCGGTTGCACTCCTCTCCTCTTTATTTAAGACGGTATCGACGTTTGGTTTAGAACATTTCAGAAACAGCTTCAATGCAATAATTTTCTTCACCAAAGATCTTAGCCATCCGATTAGCTATTTGAGATTTATAAACCTTGTTAGAATATATTCGTTTTGATAGCTACTAATCTGCTACTGTATCCTAAAGAAACAGTTGATTTATGCTTCAAAAACTTTGTATGTACGAGCCTTATCTTAGTGGCATTCAACAAGACATGCTTGCGGAAGTTTCTGTGTAATGCAATCTAACTCGATTGCCGAAGAAAAACAATTAGGTAGCATCACCACCAGCCGAATGAAACGCTTAACGCATAATCGCATTTGGAAAAGTTGAATTTACAACTAAAATCGGAATTGAAAATAGCAACAAACAAGCGATAACACAAATATACCAAGAAAGAGCACACATACACGCGTATACAAAATGGGTGTTATGGAAAACGGAAGCAAAATCCTTTCAGCTTTCAGTGTTTTAGCTCGTTTTCCTTTTGAACGATTATATTTGCCTTTTACGAAATTGCGATTTCCATCAACCACTTTGGAGGGGTCGGGAGGGGAGCATGTGCTGCAGGCCACCTGAGTGGAGTAACTTTGCAACGGTAATGGGCGTGTAATGAACACGTTTGCCTTTGCCTTTGTGCAAATGAACATTCGCTCTCACTTTCATTCAAATCCCAACTCTACCGCCAACTGTTACCGCCCAATGTGGGGCACGTGCAACGACACTGTAAGCACAGGGAATGTGCAATGAGGGAAGGGCAGCGAGTGATTAAAGTTTACTAGGGCAGGTGAGCCCTAGTACTAGAAATGGAATAAATGAAGAGCAAATTAGTTTGCTATCCGTGTGTGTGTGTGAAAGCATTATAAGAAACAAAAATTGGGTTAAGTCCCTAATGACGGATTTCAAATGCTCTGTAAATAACTGCAAACATACATTTGCGTACTAATGAAAATATTCATAGATTTTGAGTGGTTTTCTCCTTTTTTTTGGAACTTTTGCGCAGAATACTCAAGTTCTTTTCGATTCCACTCGAGTGTAAAATTAGCCATAGATTAAATATTGAAAATTGCGCCCTTTACGAAAAGGAAGATATAAGGAAAAGGATAACCGTTGAACACCAAATTTACAGATATATAGAAAGTATATAAATGGAGGATCATCAGGATAAAAATAATAAATGACGACGCCGATATTTCTTAAAAGTGATCCAAAGTTCTAACTATTTTACAAAGTAGATTTTTTATAAAATAGAACTAGAGTAATAAAATATATTAATTGTGGCTGCTACGTAAGGATCAAAGAAATAATTGAAGGTAAAAAAATATATAAATGTATAATAAATATTACGCAGTTTTTATATTTTATAATATAATAATAATTTCGTAAAATATTGGCATCGAAGTGCCATAAAATTGAACCCGCTGATATGTATATCTACCCAAAACCACATTAATGAAGCCAGCACGAACACGGATATATTTAGCGAACCCTTATTAGACTTAATCTGGTATATACTGTTCTTTATAATAGCTGTTTTCGATTCGCTAACCGTTATTCTCCAGCGAATGCTCAAACAAACGGGCAGCCCTTGTAAGGCAACCCTACGGTAACATGTCTTCTGACGCATACGCAAAAGTATTATGATTCTTTCTTAGTAAAAAAACGTTGCTGTAATCCTTTTTTTAGTTTACTATAAATTACTATGATTGATTTTAAGTCTTAAGTTTTAAAAATAGAAGAAACAAGTAAGGAGGGGCTAAGTCCGGATTCAACCGAACATTTTATACTATCGCAAAGTCAAATGGTATACTCATTTGAGATTTTTTTGAATATTTGAATGATTAGAAGTATAATCCGTTGCCTCAGTTAATTTCATTTACAGTGAAATTAATTAGAGCAAATTATAAAATAAATTTACTCAAATCATGAGATATTGTGTTTTGTTGTATACGCTTATAATTGGTTATATATGTATTGAGGAGTATGAAAAGAAATAGTTTTTTGACAATGAATACAATTTTTTATTTATTATATCGATATTATTATACATGTTTGACTTAAAAATAATAAATATTAACATCTTTAAAAAGTATATTATTATATTAATTTCTATATAATATTTAAAATGTTAAACATAAATTTTTATAGAGATTTTTATACAATATATATTTCTTTTCTCCTTATACTATTTAATATCTATCCTATATTTATACAATAATGTCTTCTACAAGAACACATTATACATATAATTTAAATTTTATTAATTAGATTATCAACATATTTCTTTTTAAAATTGTCTTAAAAACTACTGTCATAATTGCTATATCATTCTAATTCGATTATATTTTAAAAGAAAAAAATTGAAAACTATTGGACTAAGTCTGTAAACTTTAGTTCGAAATAGAGACAGAAATACTGTCGTGATAGCTGTGTACTGTTTCAACAGGTATTGCATTAACATGGGAAGGATGTTTGAAAATGTCCACTTAATTTGTGTACCGGCAGGTGTAGTTGAATATTCTACACCAAGTTTTTTTCTTGTAGCAGATTTCCTACTGTAGTCTCTGTAGATATTAAACAAATGTTAAAATATCCAACAATTAAACCATTTTGATTGCATAACTAAGAAGTAAGGACTTCCTGAAGTTCTACTTATATGTCTGACAGAGAAAAGTGAATTTCTGTATAGAACCCGAACGGTTTAAAGTCAGGTGGAAAGACGGAAATCATATACAAGTATATATTGGGGATAGAGAAAGATATTAATTTTGACATTGCTCAGCTATACTCGAGAACATATTTTGAAGCAATTTTATATATAACGAGTAAGGAAGGGCTAAGTTCGCATTTAACCGAACATTTTATACTCTCGCAAAGTCAAATGGTATACTCGTTTGAGAAAAAAAAAAATATTAATACTCACTGACCGACATATACAGCATAAAACTGGTTAGAATAACGAAAAGCATTATAAGTAGTATATGGAAGTTGAGGATAGTATTAACCAAATTTTATTAATTTTTCCAATACCACATACTACTAACATGCCACAGACTAATAAAATGCTTCCACTGTTTCATTAAGGTACCTCACATACCATTACCAATCATATGGAGTAAAGTCAGACGTATGTTCGAAAATCCCGATATTAGTTACATGGGGGCTAGGTAAGATTTTCCCCCGATTTAATCCATTTTAGGCACAAACATATCTTGTAATGAGTAAAATGCACTCTCTCATTTTCATTGAGATAACTCACATATCGGTCGATATATGCGGTATAAAGTCACCCTGAAGTTCAAAAATCTTTATATTATATTACCGATATCCGCCAAAATTCAACTATAGGCACTGGGGTCCACATATTCAGTACCTAGCGGCTTGAACATGTTTAATGTTTTAAACACATTATTCACGCAAAGTTTTACGCCGATATAATCATTGTTGCTTGATTTGCACAGTTGAAAGTGAAAGAATCAAGTGGAATATAAAATGGTGTTATATGGGAAATTGGCGTGGTTGTAATTCGATTGCGCCCATTTTCGCACCCTAACATAGAAAAATGTTATGTACCGAATTTGGTTGAAATCGGTTGAGCATATCCCAAGATATATTTTTTCACCTAGAAGTGGGCAGTGCCAAGACCACTGTTTAATTTTAAACATCCCAGAGATAAAATTGAATGTCTCTGGCGTGTTTAGTGCTTGATTTATCGCGCTTTTCGTAGTTTTTAACAGTACCGTTATATGGGCAGTGGGCGGGAGGCGTTGAAGAGATATGCACATTAAACCTATTAGAGGGCAGGACCACGCCCACTTTTATCCTGTGTACCAAATAAGAGTATTGTATCTTATTGTAGCAAGAAACATGTGTACCAAAAGATATCTAAATTTTTACTTAAATTACAGCTTGCACAGACGGACGGACGGACAGAAGGACAGGCAGTCTCCCGGATTTCAACTGGTCTCTTCATCCTGATCACTTATATATATATATTAACCCATATATCTAACTTGATTAGTTTTAGGTGATACAAACAACCGTTAGGTGAACAAAACTATTATACTCTGTAGCAACTTGTTGCAAGAGTATGCAAAACAAAACTTAGTACATTAAAGATAGATAGCAACTTTACCACTTTAAT